GGGGAGACTACATCAGGACTGGTGCTCCGCTCTCGGCTTGTTGTCACAATCTTTCGAACCAGAAACCATACTTAAGCACCAGCATTTCGACTGAGACCGAAGTTTTGCGGCCGAAGTCTTGAATTTAAGTGACAACTATAGTGGGTTTACCGGCAACACAAAGTGGGAATAACAGCTGTTTAACAAAGATCACTCTTTGTGCTTGTTGGAGGAACTACAGTAATAGGTCCAAGGCCCTCGGGTACTGACATTGTACCTCTCGCTCATCCCTGACTGTAAGCACCAAGAACGAGGGGATTACCGTAGTTCAGGTGAAGAGGTACACGAATTGCCACTTTTAATTGATAACAATTACCGGCGATTAACGTCTTAAAAATTACCTTGGATACTTATTCAATGTCACAGGAACTTTTGTTGTATTATTGTTTTATTTTAAAGGAATGCATTTTGCCTTGGTTGGCGAATAGAAAGTAACTAATGTTATATTTGGGATAACACTTTATTAGTAAAGTACAGATTCTAGTACTTTTTTGGGTTGAGTCCCGTCCGGGATTCGAAGCCACACCTGCCAGGGTGAGGCACCTAATCGCCAGCACACAAAGTCAGCGATCTAACCCACTCAGCCACCGAGGCTTCCACAAAAATGAGAGTCCGACAACTGGTAGTCTAGATCACGTACTTTGAGTACCCCCCTGACAAGTGTAAATTGGCACAGCTCCCATGGCCGAAAGCTATGAATACACAATGCCATTTAGAAAGTGGTCAACTGTAACTAATGTTATATTTGGGATAACACTTTCTTTGTAAAGTACAGATTCTAGTACTTTTTTGGGTTGAGTCCCGTCCGGGATTCGAAGCCACACCTGCCAGGGTGAGGCACCTAATCCCCAGCACACAAAGTCAGCGATCTAACCCACCCATAAAAATGAAAGTCCGACAACTGGTAGTCTAGATCAAGTACTTTGAGTACCCCCTGACAAGTGTAAATTTGCACGGCTCCCATGGCCAAAAGCTATGAATACACAATGCCATTTAGAAAGTGGTCAAATGTAACTAATGTTATATTTGGGATAACACTTTCTTAGTAAAGTACAGATTCTAGTACTTTTTTGGGTTGAGTCCCGTCCGGGATTCGAAGCCACACCTGCCAGGGTGAGGCACCTAATCGCCAGCACACAAAGTCAGCGATCTAACCCACTCAGCCACCGAGGCTTCCACAAAAATGAAAGTCCGACAACTGGTAGTCTAGATCACGTACTTTGAGTACCCCCCTGACAAGTGTAAATTGGCATGGCTCCCATGGCGGACGGGACTCAACCCAAAAAAGTCCCAAATATAACATTAGTTACATTTGACCACTTTCTAAATGGCATTGTGTATGAATAGAAAGTAGACGTTTTCGAATGTTTCTTTGGCCAGAAATAATAAATCCACAAGTCAGTAGGTGCTACTTGCAGTACACTGAGGACATTTCCCCAACCAATTCTATGCATAACGATTCAGAGTGACCAAAACCTCTCCACAAAAATGTCTTTCCTTCAAGTCACGCAATATTCCAGCCTTTCCAGCCTGTGGTAGCTACGTTTCATAACTTTTGAACTACAATCAAGCATCCTCTTTCTACGAAAATTTCAAAGAGCGTCATATGACTTTTGCTTAAAAGTTGTTTCATTCAAGGCCTAAGTGAAGATTTCAAAAAGTGTTAATGTAGACATGTGGAGAACACTTCTAAATTTGACGCATCAGCAACAGAACTGATTTCAATGCAATTCACTAATTTTGTATCATGTAAGCAGGATACCCTCACCTTTCGCGAACACCTGGTATCATCACCATTTGATATTTCTTATAAATATGAAAAAAGGTTTTATGACTCTTATTTGACCTAGAAGTTGCATATGCAAGCACCTTACTATAATAATGGACTTTGATAACATTCGGCCTTCAATGTGAATGCAATCGACCTAGTTTCTTTCCAGTAGCAAATTGATTGCCGTGACACACGTAAGGGCTGCTGATAAATAATAGTGTCAAGTAAGGGAGGGTAAAGGTTCAATATGATATCAACTAACATTGTTGCTGGTGATGATAAAAGAACACAATAACCACGTAGCCCAACCCAACTCAGGTGTATAATCACACCACGGGCCTGCAAGTCACACTCTGACCACGTTTTATACATATTTGACTTTGCTGATATACAGATGGACTTTGTACACTTGGTGTTTCTGTCCTAGGTACCTCATATGCCGACATCCTCTGTTTAAGTGGGCTTATGCTTAATGCTGTGTGTCATGGAATGTGCGGACATTCAAACTACAATACAGAAAAACGTCATTTATCTTAAATGTATGATATTCATAATAATAAATAAAAGTGACAAAACCCAATCAAAATTAATAAAAACCCTCTGCTGGAAGCAAAGTCGACTGTGCGATTTTGACTATATCCTGAGCTTGTGTTTATAAATCGCTATCAAATAGTGATGATACCAGGTGTTCATGAAAAGGTGAGCGTATCCTGTCCAAATGGTTGCACCCATCATTTTGTTGTGATGATTTTTCGACATACTACTTTGTTTACTGGTGATGCTCTGAACCTTTAAAATGCAACGATGATTGCACTACGATTGTAAACTCTATGTTAAATGTATTTGTTCTCGAGTTCTGCAATAGATCACAGAAAACTGCCAAAAAATCATGGACTGGACATATTGAAGTACAATATTTGCATTTAGTACTAACTACCAAATGGCTTTATAGCAAGTATCCAAATCAAAGACTAATCACCTAAATCACCCCTGTAACTAAGTCACTCCAAGGTCCGCAACCTGAGCCGTGCCATATACTTCGCATATGTCATCACCCGTCTAGTCGGACCTATGAAGATCCGGGGTAGAACAACAACAACCCATACCTGTTGTAAAAGGCGACTATGCTTGTCGTAAGAGACGACTGACGGTATCGGGTGGTCAGACTCGCTGATTGGTTGATGCATGTTATCGTATCGCAACTGCGTGGATCGATGCTCATGATGTCAATCACTGGATTGTTTGGCCCAGATTATTATTTACAGACTGCCGTCATATAGCTGGTATACTGCTGAGTGCGGCGTTAAGTAAGAAAAAACAAACAAACAAACAAACAAACCCGTCTAGTCGTAGCATTCGCGCACCCTATCATGGTGACCAGGCATTGACAGGCAAGCCAGAACAAATCTTACAGGGATTTCCTATATTTCCATGCAGATGGAATCAACGCACATGCTAACTGCCAGTGAGGTAGAAAAATCAGCGTCGCGAGTCCTTTCATCAATTGGCAAGTGCCAAGTCATCACAAGGATAGCACAATAACTATGGCATATGATTCTTCCTGCATGAGAAGCAACCCGAGTGTCTGGAACTGAGCTTTCCAATTTTCATTTTCATGAACACAAATACTAGCACTCCGAGGTCTACGCGACGACGGGCTTGCTGTGCTATAAAGGAATGGTACTGCCTGGACCATCTGCGACCAACACATTCTGCTTGGAAAACATTGATTTGGAGGTTTGGCGAGGTTTCGTCGAGCAATGACACAGGGCGATACTGGCAGTGAGGTATGCTAGCAAATTTGGTTGCAGCAGGCACAACTACGTATACTTACATGAATGTAGTAAGTACTGCAGCAATTCCTACGGTACGAGAACCTGCTTTCAAGGGACTGGGGTCCATCAGGCCCCATACGGCTTGTATTGGGTCTGTTAGACCCAAGTCCCTTGAAAGCAGTCATTCCCAGACAGCAAACAAATCGCCTAGAAAGGTCAATTCAATGACTCATTTCCCCGTGGACCTCAATAAAATGCCCCCTTAGCTTCAGGTCCTATCTGCAGGGCAATTGGTTCAGTGAAAGATCTCCAAAATAGAGGGTTACAGATGGAACAACACATGACTTGACTCTCCTGGAGCTTCCCATCGCACTGGCCATTCAAATTTAGAGCAAACAATTAGAACGCAAAAAGTCCTCCTCCACTCTTCTGGTCATTGGTTGCAATAATCAGTCTACCAAGGCCCCCAGAGTGATGAGCCTACTCCTCCCCCTTAATCCTGCAATGGCTTTTGGATAATATTCTGTTTAGGGACAAGAATTTTTGTACCACTGCTAACACTATCGCCAATACTTCAAGGCTGCAACATCAGATGCGGACCTGGGTGCCGTTTCACGAAAGCCTCTTAGCGCTACGACCTCCTAACCGCTGCGACCTAGTTTAGGATGTCCTAATGACTTGTCTTACGAGCGTTTCACAAAGGCATCGTAAGCCCGTCGTAAACCCCTCTTAAGATAAGAGTGAGATTACGATTTACGACATCCTAACTTGCATAGCAACGCTATACAATTCAAACCGGAAATGGAAGCGCACCTGTTAATTTTTATCAAAAAAGAGCCAGATGCTAAACATGAATGAAATAAAAGCTCATATGGTGAGTATAGATAACTACAAACCTGTTCGAGTTTAATGATAGTCTGTTACACATCAAAGTTCCATCAATAGCTGTCAAGTGTGAGGGTTTAAATAGTAAATAACAGCGACAACAAGCTGCATCGGCAAAAATAGTAACTCTCTTGTGTGGAAACACGGAAGATTGTGATATTAGAGTTGTTCCCCTTCGTAGCGGCAGACGACCTTAAGATATATATTATGGACGCTTCTGGACTGAAGAAAAGAAAGAGAAACTTCACCTCGGCTGACATAGACATCATTGTGTCAGGCGTGGAAAGTAATTTTGACACGCTGAATTCGGCCTTTACAAATACAGTGACAAATAATACAAAGAAGAAGATTTGGAAAGATATCACCACGAAGTAAGCGCCTTTTATTCTGATGAAACATTAAAATGAAACTCTCATAAAATATAAAAATGAGTCTATGAACATCCAAATATCATTGATATAACCCAAAATTGTCTAAATATTTTCAGAAGACATTCTGGGAGAGATAAGGTCCTTACAAACCCAGGAGGAGAGAAAGATGTCTCTCCTTGAGGAAATTCTGTCTGTGCAGCGGGACATCCGTGACATCCAAAGACAGAGCCTGGCCCTGGAAAGAGAAAAATTTGAATATAAAAAATCATTTGGAAACTCATTGTCTCCCATAATCAAATTTGATTAAAGGCAGTGACTCATGTTACTGTTTACTTGTGATCACAAAGATGTTTAGTTTGTTTGTGTTATTATTTGGATATAGCATATGTACAAAAACAATACATTTTCATAAACTCCAAAAAACAATAATATGCAATATTCACAAGTGAGGCCATAAAGTGGTGCTGGATTTTGAAAAAGTGCAACCTTACAACTTTTAGTATGTGATTATTGACATTATGTGGCCTCTTAGTAAAAGTATCACAATTGGATATGTATGCTACCTCATTTAAAACCTAGAGTTGATAAGATTTCCCCTGACTCTACATCCATCCATGTTGTGGTTATCAGCAGGACTGCTGTCCACCTCTGGTCCAGGATTCTCACAAAGAACATCAGGCTCAGGCAACCTCAGTAATATTGCCAAATTATGAAGTTGAAAGCAGGCAGTAATAATTTTGATGCTCTTCTGTGGGCTGAATAACAGGCATCCTGTCGTTTTGTGTAGACACCTAAGCAGATGTAACATACTTATATAGTTGTGTTTACAAATATAGTGATGAATATATCATGATATAACATTTATACTACGTTTTCCTATAATAATTAGATCCACATCAAGTGCTTTTATGAGTTATCATGGTGTAATATTTATACATCATTTCATATATAATTATAGTTTAGCAAGTAATACTTATCATCAGGTAAAACGCATATTTTATATTATGCGTTTTACCTGTTAGTATAAATGTTATATCATGATAAATACATGCCAAGAGCACAGGTATTTTGAAATCAGAATGACATACAATCAGCAATACACATGCTCATTAGTCCAGTTACTTCAGCAAAACCTTGAATTAAAACATAAACCTTCCATGAATTAAATATTTACCTGAATCTAGATTTGCACAATCCAAATGCCCTCTCAACTGAGTTCCTTGTTCCAATATGACAGCGGTTGTATTTCTCCTCTTTTTCATTTGCAGGGTTGTTGACAGGTGTCAGGAGGTAGGGTCTACAGGCATACCTAATGTAGAATGTTTTGATAAATTAATGTTCCCGATATATATATATGTATACTTTAAAAGACAAACATGACATAAATAACTTGGACATACATGTACCTACCCTGAATCACCAAGAAGCCAGATGTCATATTTCCCTTCCTCCAGATGCCTTTTCAAATTGCAGTTGTTGAAAATATGTGAATCATGGGTTGATCCTGGCCATTGGACAATAATGTTTGTGAATCTGCAAAAATAAAAAATAAATAAATACATACATAAATAACTAAATCCACAAGTCCACATTTGTTAAGAAAATAATATTTAAATAAGCCGAATAATTATGAAACATTTGGACATAAATAAGCCTACATGAGCTGTTGACAAATCAATTATGACACAATGACGTTTATTATCTGAAAGTACCAGCAAGTCTAGATTGTTTGTTTACATTGCAAGGGTCAAGGACGTCAAGGATATTTACCGGAGTTGGGCGTCGCACACAGCTTGCACATTGATGGCGTGGAATCCTTTTCTGCACATATATACTGCTTCATCTAATGCTGGTCGTTGAATGGGTATCAAAGTACAATCTATGCAGCCAACAACTTTCGGAAAACCACAGATGTGGAAGAAATCCTCCGCTAGTTTAGCGTGTTTGTCGGGCGTTCGAAACCGGATCAAGTCATACGACTTTACGATTGCATCTGTCGTCTTTTCCAACACGCGACAAACACTTGATTTGGCAATACCATGTATATCTCCTAATTCACTTAGGAATCCCCCTTTTGAAAAGTATCTAAGCGTTACTAACACCTGCACATGGACAGGTAAGGCACACGAACGTTGGGTCGGCCGAGAGATCTCCGCGCTGACCCGATCAACCAGCTGTAGGATGGTGTGTCGAGGAAAGCGATACCTGGCAATCAGTTCCGTGTCGGTCAAAGTATCCAACACTTCAGTCCTATCCCTGAATATTCGCTCTCGCCTAATGTTTCTCCTGTTCAAAATTTCTTTAATTCTCAATAGTGTCGCCATATTAGACGCTGACTTAGGATGTCGTAAGCTAGTTACAAGTGCCCCATACCTATCGTAGGTTAGGAGGTTGTTTACGGTGGGGTGTAAAGTTAGGAGGTCTTTGTGAAACGGCACAAATATTTAAGAGGTGCTTTACGACGTGGTTTAGGAGGTCGTAGCGCTAAGAGGCTTTCGTGAAACGGCACCCAGAACCTCACACCTATCCCGTGCAATGTATGGCTGATCCAAGGCAAAATGCTGGTAGACTCCTGCAACAATCCCAGTCTACTAACACATGGTCTACCTACCAAACAAGTATCAATGCCTAACAACAGTTCCTGTCATCAATTCCAGTGGATAAGGTTGCAGACGTTATTGCTTATCTGTCAGTCACTCACCACTCCCCACTAACACAGTAACGACTTACATTACACTGTGGTCACAGCATATGTTCCATGGGTTCACCGACTGTACAAACTATTTCCTTGTGCTTGTGTCAGGTGCTTGATAGTAACCGATTTGGTCCACACCAGATTTCTCATTCCACAGGGTAAGTTTATCAGGCAACTCCCATCAGCTATCAGCAAGGGCGACCAGTACTTTACTGTGGCAACAGTTACAATGTCACTAGTACCAGGTCATCCACTATGTCCCGTAGCAATCATCACGGACTATATTGATGCGCGCCCGATTGCCCAGCAACAGACTTATTTATTTTAATCATTCCCCCATTACTCGGTACCAATTCCAAGCACTCTTTTAAAAGGTTTTAGTACACACCATAAGTACTGCTTGCTAGTCTTCTCAATCTTTCCACATGGGGCGTCTACATCAGCAGCCATGAATGATTTTTTTGAATATTTAACTAGCAGCTTAATAGCCTACAAGCATCTACACAATCTAGCCCATTTAAACCACTCGTCTCTCGTGCTGTTCTTATAGGTACGGGCATCCGTGCCCCACCTTTGGCATATTGTACTTTGGACTTATTCTTTGATTATTGTCTGTGCCAATTATTCAGCTGGCTTCCATTTGTCATTTCCATTCTATTACCTATCAGTGCTAACTACCCCCGTCCTCCGGTTTGCCTATAGTTCATTACCTATTACCAATCAGTGATCATTTAAGTAATCATTTCAAGTTGCCAATCTCTCAGCGCTAATTAACTATTATTTGTTGGCTTCCATTTGTCAATTGTCAATCACCTATCAGTGCCAATTAACTGTTGTCTTCCCTTGTTAAGTTTCCACTTTTGTTGTCTTATTATTTTGGTTTTTCTTACAGGTACATATACATGTTCTCTGCCTCAAAGCATATACTGAACCGCAAAAGAAACGTCACCCCAAGTGACATTGCATGAAAAGTTGTCATTTAAATATCTGGGTTATTTTGTCAAAGTTTCTAAAATTTAACATTACATTCCAGAAAAATGAAATTTGATGATAAAAAACCAAAGCAGATGACAATTAAACCGATTGCCCAAACGCATCAAGGTAACGACCATGGTAACCCGATGCACGTGAGTTCTGTGCAAATTGAAATGCACATGCGTTCCCCCATTTCTTGCCCTTTATAAATCCTCCCAGATCGGATAACATTAATTCGTTATTGAATTGCTACCACATGCCAAGATTGACAAGAAATCAGCGACACAAAGCTTGGACGATTACAATCTGGACAAACCGCCTCGCAAGTAGCAAATGCATTTCAAGTCCATGTAATGACCATATACAGGCTCCAGCAACGGTACCAGACCACCAACACTACAGATTACCGACCACGTTGTGGAAGACAAAGGGTCACTACCCAACGTCAGGATCGTCAGATTGTGCGACAGCATCTTTAAGATCACTTTGTTACTGCTGCGGAAACTGCTCGACAGACCATCTGAACACATTAGCGACACATTAGTGCGGACACCGTGCGTGGACGATTGACGAGCAGATACCATCACTGTCACAGGCAACATCATCTCAGACGAGAGCCATTACTGTATCTCAACAGCAGATGGCAAATAGAGAGTCTGACGACGTGGGGAACGTAATTCGGATGCTTGTGTTGCATTAGAACCTTGCAGTGGCCTGCCCTCAGTCCCGATTTAAATCCCATTGAGCACCTGTGGGACGAGATTCAAAGACGGCACAATGACGTCCGACCAAGGCCGACAACTGCAGCTGAACTGCGTCATGTGTTCCTCAGAGTGTGGACTCAAGTGCTTTTGGACTTCATCAACCACTTCATCCATTCCATGTATCGACGTTGCACGTCAGTCATCAAAGCACATGGCAAAAACACGAGATACTGACTTGTGATGCCATTTTCTCAGAGACTAGTGTTGTGTTTCACGTTAAGAACATTTGACACTTTAATTTCAACCTTCATGATCCGTTTTGCCAAGTTTCATCTTTTTAATATGTCCAAAGTATGTTCACAGGGTTAGGAAAAATAAGGTTTCTCATATATCTATCCATGGTGACTTTTCTTTTACGGTTCAGTATATATTCACCTGATGAAGTAGTAAGAATATACTCTGTTGTGTTCCTCATAATGAATGTTGTTCCTCATTTTCTAATCACTATATATTTGTTATATTTGACACAGTTGTCAATTACTTTGGATAGCTTCCTTTTGGGACACCCTGAACCAGATTAAAATGTTTAGAGAGGGATGAACCCAAAGGAACCCGACATTTTCTGTCTTGTGAAATGTTGGATATAAATTGGAGCAAGTGACCTCTCAATTAAAATACATGTAAATCTGGTGAAATAGCATGTTTTTACATTGCTTCTTGATGAGAAAAGATTGATATGCACTTCTTGGTAGTCATTAATAATTGCATTGTTTACAAATGATTCTAACAAAACTAAATGGTCAACAGTACTTCGATTTTGTCCGAAAAACCACTTTCACTATATGTGATTAGACTATTAGATAGGTCTGCAACGGTTCGGTTCGGTGCACCGAGAACCGGTACTTGTCTCGATTCGATCTTCGACCTACAATGTCTAGATTTCGATTCGGATCATGAGGTGCCCAGCCTAGAGTCTGATCCACTGAGTTGGTGGAGGAGAGAGAGGGAAAGTATCCCTTGTTGTCAAAATATGCCAAACAGTGCCTTGGCACACCTTGCACAAGTGTGGCTAGTGAGAGGGTCTTTTCAACAGCCGGGGATGTTGTGACTGCTCAGAGGGCTTCCCTCAGTAGTGACAATGTGGACATGCTTGTGTTTTTATCCAAAAACATGATCATCCCTGATGACCTGATTGACCTCACAGTCTGAGGTGATGAGATTGTCCTGTTGGTGCACAGTGTTGCACTGTTCAATAAAAAAGTTAAAGTAAATACACGTTTTGTTACTTATTTATGCATATTATACATGAATAATTGTATATTATTAGACTAATGAATCAAATCGAATGGAAATTATTGAGCATCAAACTGAATCGAAGTTTTGGTGAACCGTTGCAGCCCTACTATTAGATATTTCGTAGCATGATAATCTACTTTGACCATGCTTTCCATGGTTTTGCAAACACATCTGGTAAATGCATTTGGTGTATAATTTGAGGGATCTGTTTGATCCCGTCAGGTTGCAATAATATAACAGTTAGGGCATCACGACAAAAGGATGGAAATTTACCTCATGTCCCTATTTCATGAAAAAAATAGCTGGAAGGGTTTCTAGCCATGAATCTGGTAAGTGTTTGAAGGAGGACGAGGTTGGTGTCATTTGTGACCAACTACGGACCCGAATGGTGACTCGTGCCCCTCTAGAAAAATTTCATATTGGCGAACTAACATAAGGGTCCACTTACACAGAACAAGCTTAGTTACAATTGTTACAATTGTCCTATTCCACTTGCCCAAACCGACCTTAGCGCGATTGTAAGACGGCTTGGATTTAAGATCTTAGCTAAGATCGAAATCTTCAACGGTAGAGGTACAATTATCATAAACTCGACAACTGTCTACAGTTGTCTGCAAGCGTGCATAGTGGAACCGGTAACCAACACCCAACAGTACCTCCCTCCATCGCACCTTGCGAACACCTGGTAACATCATTATTATATTTGATAGTGATTCATAGACACATTGTCATGACATTGCTGGAATCGTAGTCAACTCATCTTGATTTGTAGTTTGGTTGAGATTGCCGATTCTGCGTTGGTCGAGATTTCAGATTCTCTGTCCAGGGAGGAGATGTACATCTCGTCAGATGATTTTGATCTATTTGAGTTGCTGAGTTAATCTGGTCATCATTGACCCAATAAATTGAAGTTTGTTAGAAAGCAGAGGCTGTAGTGATTTTGACAACTGTAGTCGGAGAAGAGACTGAAGCTGAATAGGCATTATTGAAAGGGATTTGAAATGAAATCAGTAATACCTTATATTCATCAGAGTTAGAGAATATTGTTATATTTGTAATCATGAACAAACAAAGGGCAGGGTTTTGATGAGGCTACATGCTCCACATTGCAGTGGGCGCACTGGATTTCAATGTGCATTCTGAAATTACATGCCATTTTCGAAGAGCAACAGGTTGAGGGGATATGCCATCTTCAAATGACTCTTATTTGAACATCTAAACTTAAACATCATAGAACTAATCAGTGAGATGAAAGCAATGATGAATGCGATCTTTCAGGAGAGATGGGAGAGATTTGGTGAAGAGGAAGATAAAAAAAAACGGGAACGGGAACCGGAATGTTAAACGGGAATGGAAACGTTATCCTAGGAAGGCGGCTATGCTACTTCATTCGCGTTGCTCTGATTCGCAGGCTCCTGGTAGATCTGATTCTCACTCAGATAGTGCAAGAAAGTAGCTGCCACGTTCTTGTTTCACCACCCCTGTCAGCTTGAGGTAGGCGCAGCGAGGGGACCGCTTGTGGTGTTCCACCCAAGGATCGTCGATTGCCGCCCATCTTCTCAGCCACACGCTGCAATGAAAGCAGAACACGCTATCGGTGCTTTGCACGTACACGAAGCCCGCATGGGCCATGTTTTCAGCAGACTGGGCCATCTGCATCGGCCACGCCTCAAAAGCAGTGACCGTGCTTTCAAAAGATTGATGACATGGCGACGTCAGCTTACTGGACGGCGACAACGGCGGCGGCGGCGGCGGCGGCTGCGACATATCATCACAATCATCCGTACTCTTAGTCCACAGATGAAACCTGGATCCACAAGCATCCGTCATCTCAGTCACCATGGACCCCTCACTCGTATTCGTACTGCTCTTCCTCTCTGCCATTCTGCCGATGCGATGATTTTCACAAGTGACTCCACTTGAGTGGCTTCACTCTTTATAGGAGTCTTTATAGGGACTGGATCGAACATCGATGCACGCTGATTGGTCCGACACACTGTGCGCTGATTGGTCCGTTTCGCCGCCCAGCCTGAGCCTCCATTGTTTGATCTTAAAGGTCTTATACAATGTCATGTCCTACCCCCGACACAGCTCTACCATCCTCTACTACCCTACAGATCGGTTGGAAAACTTCTCTCCTTTGTGCCGCATGTGTGCCGAAACCCAGTCAGAGACGTCCTGTGAGCACACGGACGAAGATAGGGCCTGGCTGGGCATGTACGCCACCGTAGAAGTCAATGAAGCCATGAAGAAGTTTGCTTACAAAGTGCTTCAGATCTACGAAGCTTGGCATTTCGACACCTTTGAGAAGTATGACCCTGACACACAGGTAGGAGGACTCTTTGCCCCTTATGTCTTCCATTTTTTTAAGCTGAAGCTCGAAGCCAGCTGTTACCGTGAGGGATGTACCGATCACGATGCTAACATCGAGGATATCTATCAGAAAGAATGCATCCAGCTGAACAAGGACAACATCAGGAAGAACCCAGGACTCCGAGCTCTTGCCAAGCTCTGTCTTAATTTGCACTTGGGCAAGTACACACAGCGCTTAGACTATAGTCAGTCAGTCTATATGAGTGACCCAAACAAGTACTTTGCTCTGTTGAGAGATGAACAAAATACAATCAACCATGTCTCCATCATCAACGAACATATGGTGCTGGTAAACTATACCCACAAGGAAGAATTCTGCACACCCGATTCTAATTCCAATATGGTCCTGGCTGCTTGGGTCCCTGCACAGGCGCGTCTCAAGCTGTACAAGACCCTCAGCCCATTGGATTGCAGGGCCTTGTACTTCGACATGGACAGTATCTTTTACATTCATCAAACCGGGAAATGGAATCCAGAAATGGGCAATACATTGGGAAGTTTTACAGACGAGCTGAACGGAAACACCATCAAGACGTTTGTGTCAGGAGGTCCCAAAAACTATGCCTATGACTTAATGAACCCAAGACCGGATGGAAAGCACACAACCTGCAAAGTGCGAGGGTTCACCTTGAGTGAGTGAGTTGGGATTAACGCCGCTTTTAACAGTTTTCCAGTTATATCGCAGCATGTCAGCTTAATGTGGGAGGAAAGCCCGAAGTGATGCAGGTCTACCACTTCGGTGAAACCCACGAGCACGGGTATGGTGCTGACAAACCTAGAAACATAATCGGGGTTCACCTTGAATTACAGAGCCCAACAACACCTCAACTTTGACACCATGAAAGGTCTGATTGAGGGGCAACGGTCTGGGGAGGAGGAGCAGAAAATCAGGTTGCATAACCCCCATCAGATCGTCCGTAAAGGACTTCAGCAAGGGAACGATCTTGTGACCCAACCCACCACAAAAGACTACCGCCTCGTTTACACCAAGCGACACATCGTCTACAGTTCAACCACAGGCCTGTCTATAGACACGCTCCCCTTTGGGTACAGAGACTAAACCATTTTCAAGATACGCACGTTTTGGAATAGATCACAAGATAATATCCCCGTACCATCCACAGACAGGGGGCCTAGCTGAACGTTACAACAAAACGCTATGTCATAGCCTTGTAAAGTATGCAAATGAAGCGTAAAATAACTTGGACATGCATCTTCCTCAGGCAATATTTGCCTACAGGACATCAACTAAGAATGAAGCCTGTTGAGTTGGATATACCAGTGGATCTGTAGAAGCTGATGATGTCAGTGCATTAGAAACTAGAATAAGTTCATTCATTGCCTTAGCTGATAGCCACTCCACTGCAGCATGCAACATATCAACTGCTGAGAAAACCCAGAAAGAACACTATGATTCTCCGTCTCTAAGGTATCTTACGAGAAGGATGATTAAGTGTTGCTGTTCAATTCCAGGAAACATTCTAGGAAAGAATAAACTGAAAACTCGCTGGTCTGGTCTGTTCATTGTAGAAAGTGTACTTAACAAAGGGACGTATCGTTTTCGTGAAAAGAAGACGATAATCAATGGTTCCAATTACTGTACATCGAATCGAAAGTAGCAAAGGACAATTCAACTACAGCGGGAAGGAGCAAACTCTTCACCTCAGAATCACGCAAGACTACAAAAATACAACCGAAGCACCCATTCAAGATAAGAAAGTTGTCATCACAACCGTCTAAAGGGTGATATATTCAGCAAGTTTGTCAGGTCGGGGAGCCTACTGATACACAAAGCTCTCAGTATGTCCATACCATAAGGTCTAGTGCATCAGAAAAACCCAATCGGGTCGCTGCGGTCGGGACCCCCTTGTTTATTATACAGTTGGCCAATAGTTGCAAAAGGCAAAAGCAAGCTTGTTTGGCCTTGAGTGTCAAAACACTCCATAATGAAAGCTCTCCAACTTTACTGCCTGCAAAAGCATCACCAAAGGATGTTGTTTGCATAAGAGGTGACAGAAACTGTCGTTTTCGTTCATTAAGTTTTGCAGTTTTTGGAAGTCTTCGTGGTATTGTATGAACTTTTGTTGTACAGTTTATGGTGTCCCACGCACATCTTTTGGATGATATATCTATCACTCCAATGGAAGTGAAATGGATCTTGATGGTACTTTTGGAACAGAGATTGAGATTATTTCCGCAGCTACAATGCTGAAGGCATCAATCCATGTCTATAGCAGAGTAGGAATGAAGAGTGGAGAACCAACATTCGGGTGGCTTGTGTACTCTCCTCTGGGAAACAACAAACATGTCTGAAGAAGCCATATATGAGCAACCATTTCCCGCCAGTCACAAGCACCGATACAACTGGCACCCATTCCCTGGAAAGAAGACCGTTCTTCAGAGTAGAAAAACATCTCTGAACTTTCAGACTTCATGTCAGAAATGTGTCCAAGGTGTGAATAGCTAACTACAGATTTAATAATTGACCGAGTAGAGATGGATTGTGTGTAACATGTATATATCTTTAATATAAATATGCATCAGTTCACAAAAATGCAAACTGAGTTGTTGTTACATAAATGTCCATTGTGTCCGAGATGTGCACACCTAATTACAGGCTTAAAAATTGACCGAGATTGAGATGGTGTGTGCGTAACATGTATCTTTCTTACATATAAATATGCATTCAATAAAAAAATGGCAAACGGTATTTTAGTTACTTGAATTGGTATTCAAGTTCGTCGACGGGTATACGATTATATAACATGATTGTTGATGATGCCATCAATAAAACATCATTTGTTTATAAACACCAAGTGCCTGTGATGTGCTGCCTCGGTTTTTCAATGACGGGCCAGAAACTATGGGGAATTTACCACATCACATATAGATTCACCTGCAATCAAGTCCTTATATCAGGATAATGAAGTAGGACACTGGTGTAAACCACAGTGTAATATTGTACCCTACCCTCGCGGAATATAAAACGAGTACCCGCCCTGTCGAAATTCGAACTTGGGATATGTTAAAGTTTTGATCAGAGCCACTGTGCTGTTTAAATCAAATTGGGGTCCAAATACTATGGGAGCCATAGTACTATGGGATGGGGGGTCCAATTACTATGATTTTTTTTATCATAGAAAGTACCGGAGGGGGGGGTCGGGGGGGGGGGGGGGGGGGGGTACAAATACCTAGGGGAGTCCAAATATTTCTTCACACCGGTCATCTTATGGACGGCATCATGGATGATCTGTTAGCTCTGCATCGACAGATGATGAGAACGAGTACCTAGTACAAAACTTGCCATGACGTTATACGTGAGAAGGTAAATACCGTCGTGGCGACATTGCCTACAGGGTATGCCATTTGGATGCCTCACGTGGGACTACATGTGGAAAAGGAAAGGAAAAAGGATGGAAACAGGCAACGGAAACAGACTGAACCATCCACTCTTCCTGACCAAAAAACCCCACAAAACAACATGGCGGACTGAACCATCTTCAACAACAACAAGAACAGCAACTACACCCACAGCGCCAGTGGCAGCAACAACACCAGCATCAGCAACAACACCAACAGCAGCAGTGGCAGCAGCAGCACCCGCAGATGGGCAGACAGAATATTTCAGTGACCCTGTCAAGTACTTTGCTCTTTTGAGAGATGAAAGAAATATCATCACAATTATCACCATCATCAATGAAGATAGTGTCGGTGAACTATACCTGCAAGAAAGAATAACTATACCCTCCAAGAAGTGGTGGATTCCATGCCTCTGGACGATGGTCAGCCTCAGATACAGCAGCAACACCAGCAGTAACAGCACCACCAGCAGCATCGGGAAGACCTTTTTGACTGTGACGATGGTTGAAGTCCGCTTTTTTCGCATTGTTTCGCATTGTTCGCATTGTATCTTAGTTGAAGTTGTTATTGTTCATCATTAAACAGAAATGAATTGAACTGACTCTTTCTGTCTTGATGATCTCAACTACAATAGGGTGCAAAACCGAGGGTAGTGGCTGAGTTGAGATGTCATTTACGTTGTCTGTCTGTCAATCTGTCATGTCTGTGCACGAGCTCGTTGAAAAAATGATAAAAGAGTCAGGCCATGCTTGCAAGGAACAGTTGCCTGGTTTCAGTCACCCTGAACACAGGATAGAGTCATATCACATCATCAGTGACATGTAAGAGGTCATGGAGTCCACATTGCGTTCAGACTGTTGTAAGACATTTTCTAGAAGAGATGCCTTACTTCATCATAAAAAACACGTCCATGGCTTATCACGAAAACCATCACCTAAGAGACCAGTGAGATCACTGCCACCACCGACGCCACCAACACCACTGCCACCGCCCCCACCACTGCCGCCACCATCACCGCTGCCATGTCAGTCAACCTGAACACAGGACGGCATCACGTGGTGGTGATGATGATGATGATGATGAAGAAGAAGTCATGACCTCCCCTTTGACCCTACGTCACACTTTTACGATGTTCATTGCAGGGCCCACAGGATCTGGAAAAAGTTCCTTTGTGAAATCATGTATGGTGCAGATGCTTCGTCCCGAGGTGTTGGATACACCACACCATCGCATTGTGTGGATGTACAGTGAATGGCAACTGCTCGTTCATGAGCTGGAAGAGATGGCAGACTGCTTAGGGGTCACTCTTGAGTTTGTGCGGATCATGCCTTGCCAGAAAAAGGGGTGGCCCAGCATTGGCTGGTCATCGAGGATTTGGTGGGCGACAATACAAAAGAAGAAGTGCTGCAAAGGTTCACCAAGAAAAGTCATCCGTGTTCTATCTCACTCAGAACTTGTTTGCCCAATCACTGCAACATCGCACCATTACTCTGAATGCTCACTACATGGTCCTCTTTAAAAATCCGAGAGATGCATCGCAGATCGACAATCTGGCTCACCATGTGTTTCCAGGCAAAGTTCTTTTTCTGCCTGATCCTATGAAGACGCCACCCAAGAACCTTACACTTACCTGTTCTTGGACTTGAAACCAACCACGTTGTAAGACCATCGCGTACTAGCCCGCCTGTTTCCGAGATCTGAGATGCTGATAGTGTATGTAACAAACCAATGAGATGAGGATAGGAGACTTTCATAAAAGCAGACGAACCAGCTGACCTTATTTCAGTTAAGTCACAGCCATCATGGGGCAAAGACGGTCTATGAATGCCATGCCACCATCCCAAGATGTCCCCGAAGTGGGTGTCTGAAAAGGTGAGAGAACAAGGTAGAAAAAACACACTCTTAATGGACGACACATGGCAACTCGATGACATCCACGAGGCACGACCTTCTCCTTCTTACACCTTGAGTCATCCTTCTCATCCTGGCTATGTTTCATTTCAACAATGTCTGAGGTCTTTTCAAACGTGGCCTAAACAGATGGGGCAGACCCCTTATGACATGGCCATGGCTGGCTGTTTCTATCAAGGACGAGGTGATCACTCTGCCAATGGGAAGCCACAGACAAACCCTGGAAAGAACATCTGAAGTACGCCAAAGTCCCCTGTGAATACATGTGTGTATTTTGTTCTGATGCAATGCAATGATGGTATAAAAGAAAGAGCAGCGTCAGAAGGTCATGTTACACTTTTTCCCTCCTATCATGGATGAACCACTCGGGTTGAGCACCTTGGATTTAGAAGCCATCGTGGCTGAGGACGGTCCACTTCATACCATCTACTGGGGCACCCTGGCTAGAGATGACTTTGCCAAACTGGGATGGCAACAGGAGGAACCCTTTTACCCAAAAGCATACATGGTCAAAACAGATCCAAGTGATCAACCTGGCACACACTGGGTGAGCATCTGCCGTCCAGCTCCTTGATCCGTGGAAATGATGGACTGTATTCATTACCCCTGTTTAAAGAGACTTTGAATCGCATGGGTCAGATGGAAAAACGATGCAATACACACCCCTTACAACATGAATACAGCACCTTGTTTGGGGTGTACTGTCTCTACATGCTGACATATCGTGTACGTGGATGGACTTTTAATCAAGTGTTAGCTATATTGGACTGGAAGGATACAGTCAAGAATGATGCCACGGTATTAGAATGGTTTCATACCAAAGTGTCTATCTCTGTTCCTGTGGATGAGATGCCTGCCTTTCGACTGAGTGCCCAGACGCGTACCCAACATCAAAAGAACCAACCTTTCTGCCCTTATTGACCTGACACTTGTTCACTGCGCTTTGTGAATGTACAAACGTTCACACCCTAGTTGCAAAAGTTCCTGTTCACTGCGTTTTATGAGTGTACATACGCTCACACCCTAATTGACTGACATGCCACGAACCATGCAGACATCCCAGCAAGCCTCCCTGACTACATTCTACGATTCACCTCGACTACATTCTACGGGGAAGGAAGAGGAGAAAAGACTCCCATGTGCCAAAGGACCCCAAAGGCTGCTCGTCAGAGCGCTCTGGCTCCCTCCTCTTGAGAAGAAAAGGCTCCCCCGGCGATTGCGGATCCTCAAGGTTGCTCATCAGAGCACACTGACACCCTCCTCCCTCCACACCCTAAAGAGTCGGCACCATCATAGAAGACGCCATGCCCCGACTGTGGCTACTTTGCATCATCACAGGAGGCGCCATGCCCCAGCTGTCAATTATTTGGTCGTTGGCCACCATGTTGCTACTACTGAGTGCCACGGCCCTAGAAAGCTAGGATGACGTTTCCGTTCCCGTTTCCCGTTCCCGTTTTTTATTTTTTATTTTCACCAAACGGCCCTTTTCCAGGCCACCCATCTCTCCCGAAAGATTGCTTTCATCATTGCATTGACTACTCTCTCCACCACCAACAACAAAACAAAATAAAGAACCCTCCCCCTCCTCCTCCTCCCTCCCTCCACCCCATCCTCCCACGGCCATCTTGGATCAGCACGCACTCCCCGGAACCGGAAGTGCCGCCATGCGTAGAACCACTTCCGGTGCCAAAGAGGGGTCTCTTGCCGTCCAGTATATATTACAGATGAAGTGTGTAGAATATAACGTTAAACTATACCGATAACTGGCTTTGATCTGTGCAACAATAAAACAACGTGTTTCAAACGATAACAATATCCGTCTTTGCTGCAGCAGGTGTAAGCTTTCCTGACAGTTCAGGCCCACGCACCCCCAGGTTAACTATGGATTACACCCTTGCGGTCAGAGAGAACTTTTAGGATGAATTGCATCTGATTCTAAACTTTCCTTTGTATGGGTGTATGAATTAAAACACGCACAAGAACATGATTAAAACGCAGTGATGATGTTTCTTGATGGCAAAATTGAAAGCTCTTCGAAATTGCACTTTGCATTTTTGTCATAACCAGAAGTAATATTCCTTATCGCCGGAATTGATTGTTTGCACTTTATACTTATAAGCACACATGCAGCTATCTTTATGAATTAAAATCGCGATATTTCTTCTACCTTTTTCAAGTGACGAGGACTTTATTCACGAGATTGTCATTAGATAGCTAACTCGTATAAATATAATCTTCAAAAAAAGGAACCGCAAAGCCAGATTTGTGTGAGGTAGGAAAATACATTTATACGAAGAACCGTACATGGTAGTGAGCCAAAATGTTGTGTAGAGAACACTTGGTGATTGTAGTCATCTCAGTTATAGGTACATAGGAAAAGTCCAAGGTGAAGGTCAGCTACCATCAACAACGCATATGTCCCCCGTTGGAATCGATAGCAGCCTGACATCCTGCCCATGGAAGAGACGAGCATGTGAATCACATCCTGGGGACAGGTAGCCCACTCGGCCTGCAACGCAAAAGCCAACTGCTGCAACGTCCGAGGTTGATATTGACGGTGGCGGAGCCTTCTATCCAATTCTTCCCACAGGTGCTCTATCGGGTTCAAATTCGGGGATCTGGATAGTCAGGGGAGAACATCAACGTTTTTGTTGTGTAGACAGGCTCTGGTGATCCGTCCTGTATGCGGTCAAGCCTTGTCCTGCTGGAATACACCGTTGCCTTTGGCTACAATTGGGAGGACGTGTAGTAGGAGCATTTCGTTGACGTATCGTTGAGTCGTAAGATTGCCCTGGGATATGGACCAAACCTGTGCTGCCATGATGAGAGATATCCGCCCACATCATAATGCTACCCCCACCAAACCTGTCCACTTCGTGTACGCAGTTTCCGGCGTGACGTTCTCCCCGACGTCTGTAGACCCTTGCACTTCCATCCCCTCGACGGTGGAGAAATCTTGATTCGTCGCTGAACCAGACATCTCTCCATCGCAGTTGAGGCCATATCGTGTGTGGACGACACCACTGCAGCCGTTGTTGACGATGTTGTCGACTCAATATGGCGCGTCGAACAGGGCGTCTTCCTCGTAGACCTGCTGCTCTTAAACGGTTTAAATTGTCGGAGATTCTGCCAGTCCGGATATTTGGGATGCGGGGGTGGTCGTCCTTTCACGTATGTGGCGCAGTCGGATGTAGCGATCTTGGACGGGGGTGGTTACTCTTGGTCGTCCCGATCACGTGTTGGCCCATGCTGTTTAACCCGATCCCATAGCCTTGTGGTGTTGCTGGGCGCTATATTGAAAACCTTGGCTACAGTTGTTTCTTTGTACTTCTGTTAAACTTGGCATGTTGTTGAACTGTCACTGTTCGATTGACGTAGATGCCAGGCAATCAAAAACCCTGCACTTTAATACTGTTTATAGTGCTGCTGCACGTGCCGTTCGTGCGGCCCCATAGCCGTTTCGTAAATGCACTGGGTGTGTTTTTCCGAATCGTACGTGTTTCCCGACTAATGGTTTGCATGTCCTTGTGATCATTTTGTTCCGGGAAATTTGTCACCCTATAACACATAAACCTCTTTATTTTGCACCTCTTTATCCGCTAATTTTGCTTTTATAGCCAACAATATCCGTTTTGCGTTTCTTTTTTTAAAGAGTATATGATGTGTTTGTTATGTATTAATTTCGTGATACCAGTGTTGTAACCAAGGCATAGCTTTTTCATAATTACAAGATGCCTTGTAAGGATATAGCTATGTCGTAGATACAACACAAGTAAATTTTACAGTTCTAAAACGAAGCTCCGGGTAACAGCACATATTGTGGCATGTTTAGAAGAAGTCACCAATTAACAAGTAAAATAAACTTTCGGTTATATCATCAGTAGGGCCCCGCAAATACCAGTCGAAATAGGTCCCCAAGTCTTCATATTTGTCAGCCATCTTTATTATAGTGAGTATTGCAAGGATGTGTTATCTGATTGAAAGTGCGTCATCGTATCATGTTGTGACAGGGGCCATTGCTGAATTGGTGTGCCTCGTCCAGACTGTATGGTTTATTTGTTGAGTAAATATAGCAAGTATATTGCTGACAGTGACTAAGAACAACATTCACTCATTTACTATTTACCATTTATCATTCATCTATAGTGAGTGAGTGAGTATGGTTTTACGCCGCTTTTAGCAATATTCCAGCAATATCAGGGCGGGGGACACCAGAATCATTCATCTATAACACATATTTAACAAATGTGAGGTGTATTAACGTATTTTGTTTTGTAATATTGTTTTATGTTTAAGGCTCAAATGTAAGAATGTATACAATTTAATTCAAGCGTTGGAAATTATATTGCGTTTGTTTGAGAAGTAAACAAATTACACACTTACCTCGCGCCACCTGGTTTCGTCGGCGTCTACCAGTAAACTGAAATGTATGCACGGCGTATCCGTTAGACAATCATATGAAAGATAACAAACGCAGGTCTCATCTGAGCTGACAAAATCATATCAGCCACGAGTCACGTCATAGCCTACTTGAAGTACCAGATTCATGTTATGAATATGTCCCCAGCAATGTCTCCTTGTCGTAAAATCCGACTTAGTGGATCAGGTGACCAACCCAAGTGACCTGGATGATTATGCAGCATTGTCGTGCCCGCATCGGCATCAAACGTTGCTGATAATATTCAGCAAGGGTTTGTCTGGTACTCGATGATTGACAGGCCGTTGTAATATTGCAGGTACATTGTACAGTTAAACAAGAAACATACAAAACAAGTTGTGCTCCAATGATGATAGTGTACTCCATTGTTTATGTTATGCTACCATGTTAATGTTGTCCTCTCATGTTAATGTTTTCCTCTAATGTTAATGTTGTGCTCCCATGGTAATGCTGTGCTACCATGTTAATGTTGTCCACCCATGTTGTGCTCACTTGTTAATGTTGTGCTCACTTGT